GCTACGGATTGACCACTAGAGCCACAAGGAACACCTTGTGACAATGCTCCCGTTGGCAGATCATGAGACTGATGCCTAGAGCTCGACACTCCCGTAATCACCACCCTTGGAATCCAAATTGCAACACTTATATATTGCAACAGTCAGGGTCACGTGGTTTCCAGGAATCCAGGCTCTGTAATCTGAAACCCAGTATGCTAATGAGGCATCCTACCTGCTATTCTGTGATAGGATGTGAAGTCTGTCAAGCTAATAAGGTGCTAAGTCTGTTACGCTAATAAGGTATCTTACTTGCTGTACTGTGATAGGATGCTAAACTTGTGTCATACTTGCTGTACTGTGATTGGACCACTACCCCTATATGAGCTGTTCCTTCCTGCAATAAAGCAGACCTGTGTCACTGAACCTGGTCTCCTGTGTCTGAATGTGGCTCCACTGACACAATCTCCTCACCAACCCTGGAGTCCAGGACCAGGCAGAAGTGGTGACAACAGGAGGCAGCACAGGGCAAGCAGAAGAGCTGCCTTAGCACCAGGCAAGCAGAAGAGCGGCCTCAGCCCAGGGTGAGCAGAGGAGCAGCCTCGACACCTATGAGAATGAAGGAGAGGCACCCACAAGAACGGAGAAGTGGCCGCCGCTGGTGGTGACCGCAATATTTTTTTTTTAAAGATTGTGGTTTCTTTAATACGATTCTGTATTCTTTTCTACTTAACATTCATCTAGTTAACATTTTTATGTCATCAATTCTTTGAATATCACATCTTAATACCTCTCTGGCCCATGTTATAGATGCCCTAAAATGTTTTGTTGCTCATTTTTAATTATTTCCAAAATTATGGTTTGGGTTCTTTCGTTTTTTGAGACAGGAGCTCCCATTGGCCAAGCCAACCTTTCTACAGTTGAGACTTGAATTGGTTCTCCAGCCTTCAGCTCCCAAGTTCTGGGATTATAGGCATATGCCGTCTTCCTTGGCTTATTTTTTGGTATAGCTTTAAAGCTAGAATTTTACTGATTTTCACTGTCGGAGGATATCTATATTTGCAAAATTCAGTATAGGATGCCAGATTGCTTTCCAGAAATATTATGATTGATAGAGCTGTATATCATCATATGCTTCCACAAAGGCATATGGGAGGCCTTGTCTCACTATGATTTTGTAGCTGAGAGCATTAAAATTATTTCAATATTTGTCTTTTTATAGCAAAAGATGATATTTCATCATTATTTTCATTTCTGTAATATGCTTAAACTTTTTTTTTTTTTTGGTCTTTTTGAGACAGGGTCTGCCTGTAGCCCCAGCTGTCCTGGAACTCACTATGTAGACCAGGCTGGCCTTGAACTCACAGAGATCCACCTGCCTCTGCCTCAGTGCTGGGATTAAAGGCGTGCACCACTATGCACGGCTAACATTTTTATGTGTTGTAAACTTCTACTTCCTGTCCTCTCCAAAAAGAATTTAACTCAATTTTCTATTGTTGTCTTAGTGGTTTCTGACTCATTTTGGTTCCATAATTATTTCTCTCTTTTTTTGAGTTTTTTTTTTATTCCTCACCAGCCCTGGGGTCTGGGGCCTGGCAGAAGCAGCGATGACAGGAGGCAGCACAGGGCAAACAAAAGAGCTGCCTCAGCACCAGGTGGGCAGAAGAGTGGCCTCAGCCCATGGCGAGCAGAGGAGCAGCCTCGATACCCATGAGAACAAAGGATCGGCACCCACAAGAATGGAGGAGCGGCCGCCACTGGCGGTGACTGCAGCTGGTGCCCAACATGGGGCACAAAGCCTCCTGCCCCATGGAGATGTAACACAATGAGCTGTAACACTCATGGATCCTGATGCCCTCTTTGCTGGTGATTCTTCTGTGGGTGCTCACCGCTTTTGTTCTTCTGTGCTTCTTCTTCTGGCTCACAGTCTTTGGTTTGGCATGTCATTCTTGTCTCCACCAATCGTCTTCCTGAATGGCTCCTGAGTCCTTCTGGGTAGCATCTTAATCACCTTTATACCCCCTCCCCCATCTGGACTTGCCCATAGCCCACCCAACCAGGTTTCATGTATTCTGTCATCTATGTTAAGGCCTATTGAGTCAAGATAGTGTACCAGATGTCCCTCAGTGCAGGTTCATCCACTGAGGACTATTCAGCCTATCTAGAGTCTCTCAGAGAAGACCAACTCTCCCTCACCCAGAGGTAATCAGCTGTCAGTAGTTCTTTGATTAAGGTTGGGGTCTGCTGCCCATTTCCCCAGTCTATGCTGTATTTTTGTTTGAGTTTGCATGGGTCTTGTGCATACTGACACAAGACATACTGACTTACAGTCTTTCTGCCGCCTCTTCCACAACGGCCCCTGAGCCCTAGGTGGGTCAAATTTAATAGAGGAGTCCTGTCCAGGGAACCACACTCTGCAGACTCTTATTCTCTACACTTTGACCATTTGTGTCCCTTTGTGTTCATTGCCCTCTGTTGCATGAGTGAGCTTCCTTGATGAGACTTGAGAGGAGAGATGCATTAGTATTCTCTCTATCCCTTGTTCTACTGTGTTCCATGAGTCTTAGGTGTAGTGGTTCCATTGTAGATGTGTCACTTTGGATTGGGCATCTCACAGACACTTATTCTGTATGTGTAATCAGTTGTGGAACTCTGTAGTGGTCACCATCAGTTGCAAAAGAAGCTTCTTTGTTGAGTGGTGACTGGCATACTGGTCTGTAAATATAAGGATTCATATTTAGTATATAGTAAGAAATTACATTTGTTTAGGGATGTGACAGCCTTAAGATTTTCTCTAAGATCTGTGACCTCTCCAGCCATGTGCAATTGACTATGTTTACCATACCACACATGAGTTCCCTCCCACTGCATGGGCTTTAATTATGTAGCTCTAGATTACCCCCAAGATAAAAATATCACTACCTCACCACTATAATTGGTAGAATGCTATGCCAGACATTGATGTAGTTATTAGGCCTTGAAGCTGGGGTTGGACCATCGATTAATGTTCCCCCTTAGCAGCTTACATAGTGTCCTCCAAAACTATGAGAGCTAACCTTCAGGGAGGAGGCTTCCAGGTCAGTTCCAGCTCCACTGCTCCAAGTCCTGTGTTGGAAGTATGTCCAGTCTTCAGCAATAGGGTCTTACCTTCAAGTTCTGGGAGGCAGTCAAGGGCTATGGCAATAGTCTGTGTAATTTGGGGAGTGTCTTGGACTACCATGGCCAACAACTTGAAGGGAGATTTCTCCTGTCTGGCACGGTTTCTTGTTATATAGTTTTCAGCTATACACGTGGACTTATGTAGATATAATGTATATGTAATTTTTGAGTAGGTTTTCATAAATATTTCTTGAGTCACTAACATGATTCACAGAATGTCCTTGTGCTGGTTATATTTAGGAAGATATTTAGTAATTAAATTGTCCCACAAGCATACATATCTAATTTCAATAAATGTGTACAAATATGTATCTTCCTCTAAGTTGTCTGCCTATATTAGTTAGCTTTTTGTCACTGTGACTAAGCTCCCTGAGACAACAACTTAAAAAGGAAAGATGTTGATCTGGGCATGGTGGCACACATCTTTACTCACAGCACTCAGGGGCAGAAGCAGGCGGATCTTTGAGTTCAAGGCCAACCTGGCCTACATAGAGAGTTCCAGGCCAGCTGGAGCTACATAGTGAAACCCTGTCTCAAAAGGGGGCATGCAGGGGAGAGTCTTTTAACTCGGTTTCAGATATTTCAGATTACAGCCCTTCCTTCATTGACTCTGAGCCCATGATGAGACAGACCATCGTGGCAGATGGAACATGTGGAAGAGGCTGTGCATGTCATGGTAAACAGGGAGCAGAGAATAAGGAAGGGACTAGAGACCACATATAACCTTCAAAAGCTAGGCCTCTACCTCTTAAAGCTCGTACCACTTCCCAAAGTGCCATCAACTAGGGAGCAAGCATTCAACACATGACACTTGAGGAGTTGCTGGATGATGGGTACTGTACCAAAGAGTTTACCATATGGTGCTGCCATTTTGCACTCCAACCTATGGTATATGAAAATTCTGTGGTTTTATATTTAATTTTACAGATTTTATAATGGCATCTCATGAATTTACTTAGTAATTCATTGATTACTAATAAGGATAAGCATGTTTCATGTTTATTCATCATTTGGATTTCCTCTTTTCTGTGGTATCTATGTAAATCTTTTG